AGCCGTGGAAGGGTGGGCGCAGTGTTGTTAGAGGCCTTTTCCAACATCAGCGATCCTGTAATTCCGTGCGAACACCTTCACCGCCATTGCTGCCCTCACGGGAGCTGAATGCACCCTCGGCAGGCAGAGAGGACGGAGCAACTGCGGACCCGCCTGAGGAAGGGAAAGGAATTTGGAATATCGTTCTGTTTTCCGTTTCTTGCCCGGTTCCTCACGCAGGTGCCTCTGAGAAGGTCTGGCCGAGGGTTCGCGGTGCAGCCCCAGGGCTGATGGCCCTGCAGTGCCCATGGAGCTGTGCCGTGCTCCCGGTGTCCCCGGGGGATGTCCCGGCCATGTGCCCTGCAGGGAGGTGCTCCCAGATTCTCAGCGCTGTTCTGGGTGCCCTCAGTGCAAACTGAGATTTTTCTGACTCTGTGACCCTGGGTTTGTGCTCTCTGCCCTCATATCACACAGAGCCAAGGCTGGGGATCCTTGGCCCTCTTCACTTGGGGATGCCAGGGAAAGAGCAGGTCTCAGAACCCTTTCATGTACTTACAGGACATCATTCCCCAGCAATAGGGCTTGAAATGACAGTGTGGGAAATCGAGAGGGTTAATTTTCTGTTAGGAACCAGCAAAAGTTAGATGCAAATAAATCAAACACAAGCAGGTCCTTTCTACTTTTTTATTTCAATGTGCAAAGGAACTGTGAGTCCTAACTTAGTCTGCCTTCTGAATAAGTGTAATGAAATGGGACAACCTTGTGTTGGTACCTCCAACAGTGTAAAAAGAAACAAGATTTGTTGTCATCACAAGGCAAACATTTGTGCATCCACTGAACTAACAGAATGACTTGAGCATTTTCACAGCTCATTTAGGACAGAACTGTGAGGCTCCAACCAAAGCAGCATGGCTGGAGTTGGTTTGTGAGCTATGATAGGAACGTCTGAAGCTGTGGATGGCTGGTGAGGTTTTGGGGTGTGATGCTCATGTGCAGCCAAGGCAGCAAGAGCTGGACACCAGCCTCACATCTGCATCCCAACAGGGGCCAGCCCTGTGCCCTGGCACAGAACCCCCCGTGTGCCAGGCTCACCCCACACTGGGCAGCGAGGGGACCCTGCCTCTGCTCCTCTCTCTGTGCCTGTGGGGCTGCCTGCAGCTCTGCAGCTCCAACAGGAGAACAGAAGAAGCTGTTGAAGCTCCAGAGGAGGCCACAAAGTTCCTGAGGGGAACTTCCCCATGGGGAAAGGCTGAGAGAGCTGGGGCTGTTGAGGCTGGAGAAGAGAAGGTTGTGTGGAGACCTCCCAGCACCTTCCCAGAGTGTGAAGGAGCTACAGGGAAGTGTGGGGGGACTCTGTCAGGAACTGTGGTGACAGGACAAGGGGAATGGGATCAAACTGAAAGAGAGTAGGTTTAGATGTGATGCTGGGGGGAAATTGTTCAGTGTGAGGGTGTTGGGCTCGGGCACAGGCTGTGGAGAAGGGCTGTGGATGCCCCATCCCTGGAAACATTCAAGGCCAGGTTCCATGGGCCCTGAGCAACCTGGACTGCTGGGAGGTTGCTCAGGTTGGAATGGGATGATCTTTAGGGTCCTTCCAAGTGTAATCATTCAAGGATTTGATCATTTTACAATCTTTATCCACCAGTGCAGAGCAGCCCTGGAATTCTGGTGATACCACAGCTCCCAGATGGCACTGGAAGCCAGGAGCTGGAGACGAGCACAGCACACCCTTCACCTGCTGCCAGTGGTCACTTGTCACCTGCTCCCTGGTATGTCCATCAGTTCTGAGCTGTTCCTGCTGTCTGGATTTTCC